GGACAGTGACTTTCTTCTGAACTTTGCTTTTTGCTGTCTATCAAGCAGATAGATGTGCTGTAAACTTTTATAAATTCTTAAGTGTCTTTGTATCAGTCTTAGTCTTTTATTATGTGTGTGTGCGTGCGTGTGTGTGTGTGCATGTGTGCGTGCGTGTGTGTGTGTGTGTGTGTGTGTGTGAGAGAGAGAGAGAGAGAGAGAGAGAGAGAGAGAGGTGTGTCAGTACTGGTGTGCATATGCCATGGCCACGTGTGTGGAGGAAGTCAACGGACAACTTTTAGACGTTGGTTCTTTGCCTCTGCTGTGAGTTCCAGGGTTCAAATTCAGGTCATCAGGCCTGTGTACTAAGCACTTTTACCCTGTGAACCATCTCACCGACCCCAGACTCACTCTTTAATCACTCCGAAGTGTGCTAAGAGACTGGTGCCATTCTATAGGTAACAGTGAACTAGTCATGTGAGATTATAGAAAGAAAAGCTGTCTGTATGTACCCCACCACTGGGCTTCCTCTAATTTTAAGAAGAGACCATAAAAAAGCTCATTGTCACCAAATGCCTTGAAATATAAGAACATGTCACAGAACTTCAAATTCATTGCAATATGATGAATAAGCACTACCCATATCCACAACGATAACTATATACAACAATAAAGCAAGGTCAATGTTTTGTTTCTAAATTCTTACTGAAAGCAGTCTATATAGATGTAGTTTCCTGAATAGTGCACAAATGGATCACATCTTCAGCCTGAATGTTCAGATAATTTAGGAAGCAAGAAAGACTTTTAACTGTTTTAATTTTTATACTACCATTTAATTGTGTCTTCCCAATAAACGCCCACTACTTAGCTTAAAAAAAAAAAAAAAAAAAAAAAAAGACACACACTGTCTGAAATAGCATGACATATCAGTCAGGTCCCTGAATTAGATAATTTGAGTTTTTTAATTAAAGGGAATCTGTGAAAAGGTTTGGACTGAGTATAGGAAACTACAAGGGACAGTGCAGTACCACAGGGTGTGTGTGTGTGTGTGTGTGTGTGTGTGTGTGTGTATGTGTGTGTAACTTAGGCTTGAAAAGGAAAGGGAGCAGTTACTGGAACCCAGCAGCACAGTAAGCCTTGTAGACATCACTTGATAGAGCTCTGACCTTTGGCTGGGAGACCTATCCAGCCTGCAGTGACCCTGGGGAGGGAGCACCTGGAGAATAAGTACTCCAGTCATTCTTCTCAAGTCCTCTGTTCTCCTGCCAATGCCTCTAAGGGCTGAACAAAGAGCCCATTGCCGCAGCCCATACACTCAGTCTTGTGGGCTGCCTGAGCAGCTGGAAAAGGTTCAGCAGCAAACTGGAAGAGGCTAGTGGGAGATGTAATGCCCCAATGCTTTTAATTGAAGTGGTAGAAAATCACAGTGAGCGATCATCTTCCAGCAATCAGGGAAGGTTTAATAAAACTTTGTCACAGCTGCCCAGAATTTTTTGCAGCCATTAAAAGTGATCATTAGCGGGGCTGGAGAGATGGCTCAGGGGTTAAGAGCACTGACTGCTCTTGCAGAGGACCCAGATTCGATTCCCAGCACCCACATGGCAGCTATGAACCGTCCTTAACTCCAGTTCCAGGGGAATCCGAAGCCCTCTTTTGACTTCCACGGCATTGCACGACATGGGTGCACTCACATACATGCAGGCAATACACTTGTACACATAAAATAAAAATAATAAATAAAATATTTTTAAAAATGTGATCATTAGGAAAACTAGCCAGCAACATAGGTGCTACCTTAAGATTCAGGACCTATTTTTTAAAAAAGATAGAAAATTACATGTAACTATAATTTCACTTAGATTCATAAATGGATAAAAGTAAAAATTAATAGCAAAATTGAATACATCTGTGACTGAATGAGATTAGAGGTGATGCTCACTTACTTTCTCAGTGTCTCAAGCTCTCCCAAATGCTCCTTTTGTAAATTACACTAAAAAAAGAATCAATCTACTTCTTTTAAACATTGCCATTATATTATTTTTAAATTTTTTTATTTTTATTTTATGTGTATGCATGTATTGCCTGCATGTAGGTAAGTGCACCTGTGTCATGCACTGCCCACAGAGGTCAGAAGAGGCTGTCGGATACCCTGGGACTGGAGTTACTTACAGTTGTGAGCTGCCATGTGGGTGCTGGGATTCAAACCCGGGTCTTCGTCAAGAACAACCAGTGTTCTTAACTGCTGAGCCATCTCTCCAGCCCCAAAATTGCCATTATATTCTTTTTAGTCAATTACATTAAGGTCATAAAAAGTAAGCCTGATAAGTACATCCATTGTCCTCAGTATATGATTTTGAGAGCCCACCATGCATGAAGCATCTATCTCATACAAAGCACTGTGGGAAAGGTTAAGAGCCCTCTCTATCTCTTGGACTTCCAGGAGTACAAGTGGAAGATAAAAATGTGTGCTCTGGTCCTCATGGTTCAAAACTGAGACATGTAAGTGCTTTCTGGGAAGGACAGAAAGAGCACTGCTGAGCTCAAAGGAAAGAGCTCACTCCTATTTAGTTGGAGAAACTTTTTAAAAATGTTTACTCTCACAGGTAGTGTCTAAATCATGGACACTCTTTTTCCAGGAAGAATGGAGGTTCCAGAAAGGAAGCATTCTAGGTGGAGAGGACAGTATAAGATACATGAGAACCAATCAAAGGTGCTCACCTTTGACTGTGTTAAAGTTGAGGCCTGCATTGGAGAGCCTGGGACTCAAAGCCCATGCTATATATTTAAGCTAGAAGTTTCTTGGAGAATGCAGCTAATTGCTTTTTCAGGAGTAGACTAGGAGAAATCTCTTGCTGATAAATCAGCTGATAATGTTCCAAATGCTGCCTTTCAGCAGTGGATAGTGGCTAGTACATTAGGGGGTTCCCAATGACACATGATATTTGTCAGATATTTACCTCACACCACACATTCTACCGCGCCTGCTCATTTTTTATTGATCATTTTTTAGATAGGCACGTTGATGCTTAGGGAGGTCAACTGGTAGGTCTAAAGATGTATATAGTTCAGCTAGATTTGACTCTTGGGCCCCAGAACCTGGGCTGCACTTATGCGTCTATGGTACCACCCCAGAAAGAGCAAGCGTGAAATGATCTTTGAGCAGCAAAAAGCCCACGAGTGTATCCAACTGGTAAAGTCAAACCTTAAAGTTCCACCTGGCAGGAAACCAGGGCACATTAAGGGCTGTAACTAATACAGGCTTACTGTTCTAGCTCTGTCCCTTCCAAACAAAGCAGGCAGCTTTAGCCAGATTATCTAAACTCTTTAGACCTGGGTCTCTTTGGCTATAAAGTGGAAGTATTAATTGTGCCCTTTTCAGAGGATTTTGAGAGGATATATTCAAAAGGCATTTGTAAAATGCTTATCAGAATTGGGCATTTAGTAAATATCTGATAAATGTTAGATGTTAATGTGGTATGTTATAATGTAGAACATTTATCATAATGGGACACACTGCTTTATGGTCTCCCCCATGACAAGAGTGGCTAAATTTTAGGATATTGGAACTGGTTAGGCCTTTGCTTACCTGATATTCTAGAAAATAGCCCCAGTCAGAGCCAAAGAAACCAGTGTTTTGTCAGAATCCATTATGCCACTGGATTCCTAATAGAGTAAACACAAGCACTTGACATGATTGGCAATCAGGATTCAGCATGCCAACCTCAAATCTTGGAAATGGGGCCTAGTATAAAACGGTCTGTGCCTTAGGGAAGAAGGTCTTTGCCTGCCTTACTCTCTGTGGCTGCTTCCTCAACAGCAATCCTAGACTAAGACATGGTACCTGACAAAGGTGTCCAGGGACCCCACGTCGCTGCAAAAGGCATCCAAGAGGTTCAATAAATCATTATGCTTTTATTCTTCAAAGGTGTTCTCTGTTTTGTGTAGGCAGATGATTGAGAAAGTAACTCTGAACTCTGAATTCTGCTCAGTCTAAACACAGGTGAAGAGTTTGCTTCAGGCCAACTAACAAGCACTAAGCACTGTACTAGCCAATGTATTAGTTGATGGGTCAGTTCAGTTAATTCACTGAGCTTCATAGTTCCAGAATAAAGACCAAATTCAACACAATTAACTTTTGCTGGCCACCCTCCTCCTCAACATACTAAAGGGACCCAAGAAAACTTCTAGAATGCTCATCATTAAATGCCCTGACTAGTGATGCCACCACAGTGTAGTTATAGAAACCAAGAAACTGGAAGGTTTAGTGTAAGGCCAGCGAAGAAAGTTTGGTTTGGGGCACCGGGCATCACAGCCACTCATCTGAAATCTCTGCAGGCACAACATGCTGGAATGTCAATTTTTCTATAAAGTATGCCATTGATTTCTAAGGTTAAAATTTTTTTTAAAAAAAGAAAGAAGTAGTTAATAGAGAAAACACCAATAAACATGGAGACATTATAGATTAAAACAACTGCCTGTGATTTGGACCTTAAAAAAGAAAAGAATGCCTTTACCCTACAGTTTGCATACTTAATGTGTGCTTAAATGCTTTCTGTTGATTAGAACAGCTTCAGATGCTGTCAGGATTCTAAGAAGCTGCAAAACACATCAGTCATGACTTTGCTTAACAAAGCCCTGCCTGTTGCTTCCGGCCTTCAGAGGAAATGATAGATATAAATAACTCTGTTGGCAATCTGTCTGTTCCAGTGACTGGAAATTTCCACATCTCACTTTGGAAAGCTTGGGGAAAACAATTCCCTTCACTTTTACCCCACGGCAAGGAGGGGCCTCAGGCCACTCACTGGAGTCCAGGATCTCAGGGGTCACTGAAGTGCAATAGTGCTGGTTCAGAGAGTCTGGAGCTGGAAAGGAGAGCTGCTGGTCTCCCCCAAGCACCCCATGACCAGGCGCTGTCAGTCTTGCAGGCTCCTGATGAAAGTGCTGAGTCATCTAAGGCATTCAAAAAGTATAAAGAGCAGTTTCTGCAGGGATCCTCACTCAGAGTCCAGAAGCCTCCTTCCTGAGGGTGCTTCATCAGGTCACCCCAGCTCCCAAGACCACGGGGTCAGATCTGGGAAAAGACCACAAAAGAGAGAGAGAAAAAAAATCACTGTTCTGATTAGAAAATACATAACCCCTCAAAACAGATTGGAGTAAGAAACTACTTCAGAGATAATTACATGTATCTGGAACAAGCATGGTTCAAAGCCTTTCACTCTACTCTTCCACGCCCTAGTCTAAGTCTCTTCCCAGAGCTACTACTGTAGGAGCCCCTCTGTCCAGTCTATGGACACAGGCAGCTATACCACGCTGGAACGCTTCACAGGGGTCTCCTGTTCTGAATCTTTCATTCTTTGTTGTCCATCTCTCAGGAGGATGACATTGTGGTCTGCACTACTGCAGTTGATCAGTCTAGTGAGTGCAGGAGATTGCTGTGGGCACAGGTGAGGCAGAGTCTTCTGATGACTCATCTTTCTTTCTTCCTTCCTCCCTCCCTTGCTTCCTTCCTTCTCTTTCCTTTTTTCCTCCTCCTCCTCTTTCATTTCCTTCTCTCCCGTCCACTTTATCTATCATCTATCATCTATCTATCATCTATCATCTATCTAGCTTCTATCTATCAACTATCTAGCTTCTATCAACTATCTATCTATCTATCATCTATCTATTATCTATCTATCATCTATTTATCTATCTATCTATCTATCTATCTATCTATCTATCTATCTATCTATCTATCATCTATCAATCTATCATCTATCAACCTGAGATAGAGTCTCACTGTATAACCCTGGCTAGTCTGGAATTTGCTATGTAGACTAGGCTGGCCTCAGACTCACAGAGATGCCTCTGCCTCTACCTCTGCCTCCTCTGCCTCTGCCCCCTCCACCCCTCTGCCAAGTGCTGCAATTAAAGGCATCAGCCACCATGCCTGGCTGTGATGTTAATCTTGGTTGTCAACTTTACTGGGTCTGGAATCAAAAGCAAGCCACTCAGCACTCCTGGGAAGGATTTTCTTGATCAGATTATCTGAAGTGGGAATACCCACCCTACATGTGGGCAGCACCTCTTGGTGGCAGCCTTTTTGCCTGCTCACCTTCACTCTTGCTGGCAAGTTCATCTACTCTGTTGTTGCCACTGCTGTCCTCTTTCATTGATATTAGTACTTAGCTTCAAACTTCCTACATGGACTGAAGACCAGCAGCTTTCCAGGAATCCTCCAGGCCATCAGCACCATATTGGGGCTGTTGAGACATCTAGCCTTGTGGACCAAGCAATTATGGTATTCTCAGCCTCTCCCATGTGAGACAGCCATTATTAAACTACCAAGACCATATCACATAATTCAATCCAATAAACCCCCTTTTAATATATATTTATTCTATCAGCTCTATTCCTCTAGAGAACTCTAACACAGGTGTTTATTCTTCAGCAGGCTCTCAGGTTGCAGCTTGGCTTTGTTCCTCTGTTAAAGGCCACCCACAGCTCTTGCTAGGTGGTCCATTCCTACTGCTGATCTAACCAGAGTTCTGGCAACCCAACAACTTTCTGTCTTCTCCCTCTTGGGGAACTTAGAATTCCCTGGTCTCCTTTAACACAACACACACCTCTGTAAATAGCACCTTCATAAAACCTGCCTCGGTTCTCATGCTGAGCATGACTGCTCTTTCCCTCAAGGACCTGACCTAGTAAGTAATCTCCTTCCTATATCTGGACTTCATGGCCACAATGCGGTCTTTGCCCATTACTGCACAGCTGGCTTTCTATCCAAATCAGGATCTCTGGCCCTTCCTGCCCACGCTGAATGCTCTCAAGTCTTTCTGTTTTTCCTAGTGTCCCCTTTATCTAGAACCTGTCATTTCCATTTCTGTCCGGTTCTAATAAACCCTGTCCATGAAAACTCTCCTCTGATCATCCCCAGTCTAAAGTCTTTTTCACCCTCTCTGAACATTCATGCATTATTGATACCTCTTATATAAGCTATGTATAAGCAGAAGGCTTGTATCAAAAAATCCACTAGATAGCTGGGCATGATGTCTCACACATATAAACTCAGGAGGCTGAAGCAGGAAGGCTGCCATAAGACAGAGACTAGTCTGGGTTATATAAATGAGTTCTGGCCAGCCTGAACTACAAGATGAAGCCCTGTCTCAAAAACAAAACAACAGCAACAAAGAACCAAAATAAGAACCCTGCTGAACTAAACAAAACTCTGTGCATACGCAAATCTTGAGAGTCAGGTTCGGGCATGCACAGATGTTAGATTGAGCCCAGCCTGTGGCCCTCTCCAGTGACCAGATAACAGATGATTACTTCTGTTTTTAAAGGCTCTCAGAGTTCTGAAAAGCTGACTGACTAGCCAACTGTGTGGTCAAGACAGTCTCCTCATCTTTTGGTTAATTTGTGGCAAGTAAGTCTGTGATGCCCATTGTCCGATCAAATGCCACAGTCACAGTCTAGCTGTGATTGTGAAGTTTTTAGGTGTAATTAGCATATGCCATAAGTCAATTTTAAGTAAAGCAAATTACATCTAAAATATAGGTTCCTTTCCTCCAATCAGGTGAAGTCTTTAGGCCTTGAGAGAAAAACCAGTTTCCCAGACAAGAAGGAACTTTGCCTCCAGACTGTAACATGGAAACTGCCTCAGTTTCCAGCTTACTGGCCTAGTCTATTGGTTTTAGTAATGCACAGCAGAAATGGTGTCCAGATTAGTTGGTAGTAGGAAGAGAGGGGCCCAAGGCCTGTGCTTTTCGATTCCATCACATTTAAAAAAATATATTTTATTTATAATTTTTATTTTATGTGTATAAGTATTATGCCTGCATGTAAGTGCACCTGTGTCGTGCAATGCCCACGGAGGACAGAAAAGGCTGTTGGATCCCCTGGACCTGGAGTTACAAACAGTTGTTAGCTGCCATGTGGGTGCTGAGATTCGAACATTTTGTACTTATGACTATCGTCTTATGGATGAGCCAAACATGAACCCTAGGATTATTTTCAGAACTTGTGGCTTTGGAACTGGGGTGCTATGCTCAACAGAATTCTAAAATGAGCAGCTGGAATATTCAGAGTTACTGACTCAAAGTTATTTTGAAGTTCTCTGATTCGCCTGTATCATTTTGGTGAACTCATATATTCATGTGCTACACCACATGACGGCTTTTTCCAAGAAAGCTGGAACCGCCCATCATTCCACAGGACCCAAATCTGTCTGACCTCAGAAGCACTGCTTCCTAAGGTCTGCAGCTTCCCCTCAACCAGCTTGCACAAACGCAGCAACCTCCCTTCTGACTCCACATTGTGCCCCTTCTCTTTCACTAGCTCCTGCTCCAAGCCTGTCACCCCAGGAAGAGGTTTAATTAACCCTGTGCTGCTCCAGACTCATAGCCCTACAATGTCTTTCTTTTTTAAATATTTTATTTATTATTTTTATTTTATGTGTATGAGTGTATTGCCTCCATGTCCATAAGTGCACCCATATCATGCAGTGCCTGCAGAGATCAGAAGTAGGCATCAGATTCCTGTTAGCCACTATGTGGGTGCTGGGAATCGAACCAGGGTCCTCTGCAAGAGCAGCCAGTGCTCTTATTCACTACTGAGCCATTTCTCCAGCCCCTCAACTACGTATTTCTTAATCATTGCTTATTGCAAAAAGATCAGCTGATTGATCACAGCTGAATATCTTAATAACTGTAAATTGTAACCACATTTCTGGTTTTATGAGCATGGACTTCCTATGCAGTATTACTTAGGAAACAAAGCAAAAGATTGCATGATTGCTCCAGGACTGAAATAGACACCGTCTTTGTGCTCAACAACGAGTGAAGTAGTACTGTAAGAACGAGCTTAGAATGGCTGGACAGACGGCTTGGTGGTTAGCACTTACTATACTGCTCTTGCTGAGGACCTGAGTTCAGTTCTCAGCACTCGTGTCTGGCAGCTCAGAAGCTCATAACCTCCTGTAACTGCAGCTCCAGGGGGATGCCCCCCTGCCACATTCCACAGGCACCTGTGTTCACATGCACATACACACACATGGACACACACATACTTAAAAATAATAATAATAATAAGCTTAGTAGAAATGTCACCTAACCATAAGCTTCCATGTGCACTAAGACTATTTAATCATCTTTCATGCATTAATTAATACAACAGTGGGTACAGTTGCCTCCTTGTTTCTCTGGGTTCCATGGTTACAGTCACAACTATGAGTTGAAAACATTTGGAAGAGAAATAACTGTCTGTACTGAATATGCACAGATAATTTTCCTTTTTATGTTTTTTAACACTAAAAAGTGGATTTTAATATTTTGTAAGTAAAGCATATAGTTTTATAGCAACTATTATATAAGCAAAAGCCATTCTTAAGATTTACGATGTAAGGGCTGGCAAGATGGCTCAGCAGATAAAGGCACTTGCCACTAAGCCTAGGGACCTGAGTTCAGTCCCCAGAACCCACATGGTAGAAGGAGAGAACTGACTCCCACAAGTTGTCTTCTGACTTCCACATGCATGCTGGATGAGGCATGAGTGCACCCATACACATCCACACACAATAAATAAATAAGTAAGTAAATAAGTGCAAAAACAGATACAGGTTGTGGGGCTGGAGAGATGGCTCAGTGGTTAAGAGCACTGATTGCTCTTGCAGAGGACCCAGGTTCTATTCCCAGCACTCACATGACAGCTACAAACCGTCCTTAACTCCAGTTCCAGGGGAATCTGAAGCCCTCTTCAGACCTCCGCTGCATTGCATGACACGGGTGCACTCACATACATGCAGGCAACACATTCATACACATAAAATAAAAAATAAAATATTAGAAAAACAGATATAGGTTGTAAAATCAGCAGTGCATTTGTAAGCAACGCTTTCAGCCACCACCACTGTATTGTCCCACATCACATTTACCTATTGAGATAACAGAGAAGTACACATCCTTTTAGTTGTCATGTCAACAAGACCCCTGGGAGAGGCTGGGAAAACAGATGTGGGCACCATTGGGTTCACCTAGTAGCTAGTTTTAATCCAAAGACTCAAACAAATCCAGAGGAGCTGCTGAGCAGTGAAACGGGATAGCATGTATGTTCCCACCCAGGCAGAGTCGTGGTGTGCTTCTTGGAATGTTTCAGGGAAAACAGATCCACACAGAATATGGAGCTTTGCTGTGCTAACCTGTCTTGGTGAAATGACACTGTAAAAAACATGCAGAATAGAAAACTCAAATGAAGAGCTTTAAAATATAAAATAGCAGAAATACGAATGTTTGAAATACATATTTTGTAATATGGAAAATATGAGTATTTGTCAGAAATGTAAGGCTGTGTGTGGGTTTTCCAGAGATTTCCACATTTGAAGGCTAGAGATTAAATGCTTTAATGTCCTCTAATGTGTAGGTCAGGAACTAAAACAATTGGAGCTATCTACGACAGTGGGGGATCTTGAGTAAGTCCCTGGAGTCCATACAACCTGTCACACCTCTTATCTAGAACCCAAGTCTCTTCCACAAACTGTCCATCCAGACAGAGCTGGGCGGACAGCCACAGCACCCTACCTCTGGACAACAGAGGTCCTCAGAGGGGCAGGTCTGAAGCGGAAGCATCAACTGTGGCTTTCCTGCCATTTCCCTCATTACTCCTTTGCTACTGCTTTCTCCACAAGTAGGAAAATAGGCTCTAAGTAGGCTTAGCAGGCAATAAATATACATCTGTGCAGTCTTTGCTAGGGTTTAAATGTGAAACGGCCCACACAGGCTCTTGTGTTTGAACACTTGGTTCCTCCATGGCAGTGCTGTTCATGGAGGCTGTGGGTGGGAGCTAGCTGGAGGAAGTGGGTCACTGGAAGTGGGCCTTGAGGTTTATAGCTTGGCGCTTCTTCCCGTTTCATCTCTGCTTCCTGTTCTACTGAGTTGTGAGCAAACAGCTGCCACACACTCCCACTGCCATGGCGATGGCTGCCTCCATGGTGGACTGCATCCCCTCAAACCACTGATCAAAGTAGACTTCCCTTTTCTTCAGTAGTTTCTTGTCAGGTATGTAGTCACAGCAATGAGAAAAGTAATGAATACATCTTTGTTTTTGTTGTTATTCACTAAACAATATAATGTAACTACTATTTACATAGCAGTTATACTGCATTAGGTATTAGAAGTAATCAAAATTATTTGAAGTATATGGGGAGGTGTAGATAGATAATCTCCAAACACTGGGCCATTTTGTATCAGTGACTGGACCATTCACTGATTTAAGTGAGGCTGGAACTAATTCCCCATGGATATTGGGGGATGATTGTATTTCTCAATTCAAGCTGAGAGAGAAACAGAAGTCAGAAGGAAAAGCAAAATCATGCTTACTCACAGTTCTGTTCACTTCTCTATGGTGGTGACAGAACATTTCGTTGTCTGAAAAACAGAAGTCCCAGAAACAGAATATTAACGAGAAAATCATTCTGCCTATGGCAGAAGTAAATCCACAGGTAGAAATCCGAATGTCTACTATGCTGTGCAATGCAGAATGCAGTATCCGGCCTCCATGGAAAGAGCATGAACAGGTAACCAGCTTCCTTTCCCTTTTCTGCCCTTGTTTCCCCACTGCGCTCAGATGCTGAGTGGGTTGCTAATATGGATATGTAACCCAGGAAATGTCCGATTCCAGAATTATTCCTCCCTTTTTCACTTTAGTTTTTTAGTACAATATTTTTATTAATTCTTTGAAACTTTCATACCTGCATATGGTGTGATTTGATTACATTTACCCCCTGCGCCTCCCAGATCCATCCCACCGCTACCAACTTTGTGTCCTTTTTTTCTTTTTTTAAATATTTTTTATTTATAGATTTTTTGTGTGTGTGTATTTCATATAGAACATCCCAAACGAATGACTCATCTTTATACCTGCATCCCAAATGACACCCTCCCATACCTCCCCTGCAACTGGAACCCATATACTCTGTCATCCCTGTTCCTGTCCACTGTGTTATCAGTGCCCCCAGCCCTTACCCAGTGCAAGTCTATCCGCTGAGTCTAGTCAGCCTATCTAGAGTTCCATGTTTTAGGAAGATCAGCTCTTCCTCATCTAGTAGCAATCAGTTGCCAACATTCCTTTAGATAAGATTAGGGTCTGCTGTTCATTTTTCCAGTTCTATGCTGGGTTGCTGTCCGGGAGTCTCTTGGGCTATCCTGGCCAATAGCTCAAAGGAAGGTATCTCCTGTCTGGCATTGTTTCTTGTTATGTAGCCTTTAGCTATACACATGGACTCTTAAAGAATTATACTGATCACTTTAATCTTTGGTTATACTTTCTTTTTGGGTGTTTAAGACCATACAGTTGGTCCAGATTAACCAATTTATTTATTTATTTATTTATTTAGATCTTTTTGAGACAGGGTCTCCCTGTAGCCCCAGCTGTCCTGGAACTCACTATGTAGACCAGGCTGGCCTTGAACTCACAGAGATCTGCCTGCCTCTGCCTCCCGAGTGCTGGGATTAAAGGCATGCATCACCATGCCTGGCTAGATTAACCAATTTATTTTTATTTGGTATCATTTGTTCTCTTGACCTTAGCTAGTCTGATGGGGTAAGATGAAATCTTAAAGTGGTTTTCATTTGCATTTCCCTAATTACTAATGATGTTGAACACCTTTTAAGATGCTTCTTAGCCATCTTTATTTCTTCTTTTGAGAACTCTCTGTTCAGCTCTTTAACCCATTTTTTAATTGGGTTACTTCCTTTCTTGATTCTATGTTTTTTGAGTTCATTATATATTCTGGATGTTAAACCTCTGTCAGGTGTGCTGGTGAAGATTTTCTCCCATTCTGTGATTTTCTCTTACTTCCTTGGTTGCCTCTTTTGATGTACAGAAGCTTCTAATTTTAATGAGGTCCCATTTGTTGATGCTTGACCTTGTTTCCTGAGCAATTGATGTCCAGTTTAGAAAATCCTTTCCTGTACCTATATCTTGTAGGTTATTGTCAATGTTTTCTTATAACAGTTTCAGGAGTTTTCTGGTGGAATATTTGGCATCTCTTAGCTATAATATCATATCGTCTGCAAAAAGGGATAATTTGACCTCTTCTTTTCCAATTATTACTCCTTTAATTTCCTGCTCTTGTCTTATTGCTCTTGCAAGAGTTTCAAGCACTATATTGTCTGGTTCCTGATTTTAATGGGAATGCTTCCAGGTTTTCTCCAGTTAAAATGATGTTGGCTATGGGTTTGTTGTATATAGCTTTAATTATGTTGAAGTATGTTCCCTCCAGTCTAATACTCTCTAGGACTTTGAATATAACTGTATGTTGAATTTTGCCAAAGGACTTCTCTACATCTATTGAGATGACGATATGGTTCTTGTCTTTGAGTCCATTTATATGATTTATGATGTTTATTGACTTATATTGAAGATGTTGGCTATGGGTTTGTTGTATATAGCTTTAATTATGTTGAAGTATGTTCCCTCCAGTCTAATACTCTCTAGGACTTTGAATATAACTGTATGTTGAATTTTGCCAAAGGACTTCTCTACATCTATTGAGATGACGATATGGTTCTTGTCTTTGAGTCCATTTATATGATTTATGATGTTTATTGACTTATATTGAACATTCCTGCAACTCTGGAATAAAGCCGACTTGATCATGGTGGATGATCTTTTTGATGTGTGTCTGCATGCGGTTTGCAAGTACTTTGTTGAGAATTTTTGCATCTATATTCATTAAAGATACTATAGTTTTCTTTTTTGGTTCTATCTTTACCTGGCTTTGGTATCAGAGTGATGCTGGCTTCATAGAAGGAATTTGGAAGTTCTCCCTCCATTTCTGTCTTTTTGAAAAAGATCTAGAACATTATAAGGGAATACTTTAAAAACCTATATGCTACTAAATTTGAAACCCTAAAAGAAAGGGACGGATATCTAAAGGCATGGGAACCACCAAAACTAAACTAAGAAGTGATGAACAGCT